TCTCTCATGTCCCTGCATGGGGAGCTGGAGCTGACAGAGGGAGCTCATCCATGCTCTCCCTGGATTCGAACCAAGGTCAATGCCCACCAAACCCTTCTAGTGTTTTCTGTTGGTCACAGGAGTTCTGTGTGCCACGTTTGGCCCAATTCTATTGTTGGTGAAGTTCAGAATACTCTTTGATTGTAGGTGAACCATAAATACCAGCAATTACAACTCCCAAATGACAGAATGAATACCCCCCCCCCCAACCCCACTAGAATTCAAATTTGGGTGTATCGGGTATTTGTCCTATACTTGGTCCAGTGAATGAAAATACATCCTGCATATCAGATATTTACCTTACGATTCATAACAGTAACAAAGTTACAGTTATGAAGTAGCAACAAAAATAATTTTATGGTTGGGGGTCACCACAACATGAGGAACTATATTAAGGGGTTGCGGCATTAGGAAGGTTGAGAAACACTGTCTTATAGGAATTAGTTTAATATTTCCATCAATGCAACCAATCTGCTCTAATTCGGAATAATAAAGAGATTTTTCATTCCAATTCCTAGTTCTGCTAAAACAAAATTAAAAACCCAGTTGTGTAAAAACCTATAAACAATGAAAATGGCTCAAAGTTTACTTGTTCGATTGCTATCGCTCTACTGAAATTTCCATAATACTTGTTTTTATTTTGAAAAGAAACCCAGGGCCCTTCCTCACAGCCCTATATCCCAGAATAACAAGGCAGAAAGGGTTATCTGAGTCCACACTCAGATAATGTGTGTTTCCTGCCTGGGATATAGGGTTGTGTGGAAGAGCCCAGAATATCAAGGCAGAAAATTCCACAATATCTGCTTTGAACTGGGTTATCTGAGTTCACACTGCCATATATTCCAGTTCAAAGCAGATAACGTGGAATTTTATTCAGCTGTGTGAAAGGGGCCCCAGTATACCCAAATGAAGCACCTGGATCTGATGGGACAAGAGGTGTGAAACAGTTTCATAACTTCTACCCCAAATTATCTCCCACAGGTGAGTTTTCCAAAGGAATATACTGAACTAAAGCGAGTACGGTGGGGTGAAATTTGGCTCTAGAAAGACATGGATTGGGAAATATTTCATTATGGTGTCAATTCCCTGGTTTTGGTTTATTGAAACAGAATCTCAGTTAAATAACTCTTCCCCCCACACACACAAAAAGCAAAACCAAATGTTACCAAAGAAGGAAGAAAATGTGTTGCTCTTCCTAAATCCAGTCTCTCTAACTCAGGATAGAGGTGGGGAGCAAATAAGCTCCTGTGTAGGGAAAGAGACACCAACAAATTGGTGTACTTTAAAAAACAAGAAGAGCCCAGCCCCTGAGTCCTCTCTCTTTTAAAGTTCCTCATGTTTAACTTGATCTTCATCCGATTTCAACTTCAGTTCATCTGCTGTGATTTTCCCATCCTTGTTCCGATCCTGGTTTTGGAACATGTCACTGACAATCTTTTCGGGGTCAGAGCCTGGCATCATGTGGCCTTTGCCTTCAGCAACCTGGGAGTTGATGAATGTTGAGAACTGGGGAGTTGGAAGGTGTGAAAAGGAAAGAAAAGCAGGGAGAGTGTCAGTTTTTCCCTTGAGACCATCAACGGATATCATGCCTGTTGGAAATAGCAACTTTCTCAAGCCGCCACTAGTTATTTGTTATGTATATAATTGCTTACTGTATTGTATATGTGTGTATTTATATGCAACTAGCTGTACCCTGCCACGCGTCGCTGTGGCTTATAGTAAATCTTTTCAAAGTAGAGGTAGATATCTGGAGTATTATGAAAGAGAGGTACCTACCTATTCCTTCCCCCTTTTTCTCCCCCTTTTTCTCCCCCTTTCTCTCCTTTCTTCCTTCTCTTCCTCTTTCTTTTTCTTTCTTTCTTTCTTTCTTTCTTTCTTTCTTTCTTTCCTTCTTTCGCTCCTTGGTTTCATCCTTCTCTCTTTCCTTCATTCCCTCCCCCTTTCTTCCTTTGCTTCCTTTCTTCCCTCCATGTTTCCTTCCTTCTTTCATTTTTTATTTCCTTTTCTCCTTCCTTCTTTACCTCTTTCCTGCCTTTCCTTCCTTTTATTTTTCTTTCCTTTCTACTTTCTCTTCTTCCTTCCTTTGGTACCTCTTTCTTTCCTGCCTTCCCTCCTTCCTTCCTTCCTTCCTTCCCAATGCTGGAGTATTATGAAAGAGAGGTACCTACCTATTCCTTCCCCCTTTTCTCCCCCTTTCTCTCCTTTCTTCCTTCTCTACCTCTTTCTTTCTTTCCTTCTTTCGCTCCTTGGTTTCATCCTTCTCTCTTTCCTTCATTCCCTCCCCCCTCAGTGGGTGTGGGCGGGGCTTCGGCGGATGGGGGTGGGAGGAGGAGGAGTTCAGGGGTGGTTGGGGTTTTTTTGAGTTTTGCTGTCCCGTTTAACGCCCCTTACAGATTTATATATATAGATTTTACTTTACACTCTTTGTAAAGTACCATGTCATCAGGTCTCGGCTTGTTCAGGACTCAGACTCCATTTTAGAACAGTGTAATAATAATAATAATCTTTATTTGTACCCCACTACCATCTCCCCAAGGGACTCGGTGCGGCTTACATGAGGCCAAGCCCAAAGTACATCAAACAAAACATCAATAAACACAACATAAAAAAACAATCAATAAAATACAAATCATATAAATCACATAAACAAAAAACAATAATCAATAGTGACATATAAACAGTTTTTAAAATGGCCAGGCCAAATGTAATAGATTAAAATTGAAAATATGCTGACGTGAACAAGGTAAAATATAACTGGGATAGGATTTTTCAAAGAGAAACGAGGGAACGCAGTCCATCCTAAGTCAGTATTAAAGTGCATTATGAGGGCATATTGCTGAGAGTTCTCCTCATTCTGGGAAGGCACACTGGAACAACCATGTTTTTAAGCTCCTCCTAAAGACTGCCAACATTGGGGCATGTCTAATGTCTCTTCCCAGAGTCGAGGGGCCGACACCGAGAAGGCCCTCTCCCTCGCCCCACCAGTCGCGCCTGCGAAGGAGGTGGGAACGTGAGCAGAGCCTCTCCAGATGATCGAAGAGATCGTGTGGGTTCATACACAGAAATGTGGTCACGCAGGTAGGCAGGTCCCAAGCTGTTTAGGGCTTTGTAGGTAAGAACCTGCACCTTGAATTGGGACCAGAAAATGAACGGCAGCTAATGGAGCTCCCTAAACAGGAGGGTTGACTGCTCCCTGTAAGAAGAACCAGTTAGTAACCTGGCTGCCGCCCGTTGTACCAATTGAAATTTCTGGGTCATTTTCAAGGGCAGCCCCACATAGAGTGCATTACAGTAGTCCAATCTGGAGGTGACTAAGGCATGGACCACCCTGGCCAGATCCGACTTCATGAGGTACGGTCGCAGCTGTGCACGAGTCTTAATTGTGCGAAAGCCCTCCCGGCCACCGCCGACACCTGAGCTTCAAGCGTAAGTGATGAGTCCAGGAGGACACCCTGACTGAGGACCTGTGACTTCAGGGGAAGTGCAACCCCATCCAGCACAGGATGCCACCCTATACCCCGATCCGGCTTACGATCGACCAGGAGGAACTCTGTCTTGTCGGGATTAATCTTCAGCTTGTTCCTCCTCATCCAGACAGACACAGTGGTCAGGCACTCGTCCAGCACTTGAGGGGCTTCCTTGGCATTAGGTGGAAAAGAGTAGTAAAGTTGCGCATCATCTGCATAGAGATGGCATCCAACTCCAAAACTCCAGATCACCTCTCCCAGTGGTTTAATGTAGATGTGGAAAAGCATGGGAGACAGAATGGAACCTTGCGGGACCCCACAGGTTAAAGGCCGGTGTACAGTTTAGACTTCAGCAGAAACAGATGTATGCTTTAGGCTTCAATAGGAACAGTATGCTTACAGATTCCATTGGACTTTCAGACTAGACAGGGACTCTATTAGACTCTCAAAACAGAGAGATGCTTTGGATTATGGATTACTGATGCTCTGTGTTAACTTTGTATGATTGTATCTGATGAAAAATCCAGTGGAGCTTCACAAGTTTGCATAGTGCACATATATTGTGTGAATATTGTGGATTTTGTGGCATTTTGCTGAATGGCTGAACACAACCCTGAAGAGCTTCTTAGGACCCTTCCACATAGCCATATAACCCTGAATATCCAGATAATCCACAATATCTGTTTTGACCTGGGTTATATGTGTCCACACTGCCATATAATCCAGTACAATGTGGATTTTATACAGATGTGGAAGGTGCCTTAGACCAATGTTACGTGATCTAGGAATGCATCCAATTTCCCACTCAAATCCTCCTCTATCACTAGGCATATTCAAACACATTTGAAAACATAAGAATCATACCTCTTCAGGTGGAACTTCACCATCTTTGTTGAGATCCATGGCTTCAAACAGATTTGTTGGTGGCTCACTGTGCCAGATGAACAGGTAACCTTCGGGAACTCCTGGCTCCAGATGTAAAAGCTCAATCTCAAATTGGAGAACAGCACTGCCGGGAACACCTCGGGCTAAAAATACAGGAGAATGTATCAGCACTATTGGATGATCTAACTGTGGAGTGTCTAAAGGTATAGATTCAGTGTTCTTCTTGACAAGAAGTTTCATCCAATTGTACAATTGTAGCATTTCTATTTATTTGGGCTCCATAAATATAGGCTTTTTATCATTCCTATTAATGGTGAAGTGCAGATTAAAAAGTCTAACTCCAGACACAAGTTATAATTAAACCATGAGGATCATCGTTCTGTTTTGGCCTGTTGAATTTGGGCATTGCTTTGACTTCTTTGAATTATATTTCAGCTGTTTAAAATGTTTTGTAAGGATTATATATTTGTACTAGCTTGAGGATCCGGAAATGCCTGGGTTACTTGAGAAAGGCATTATTTGTTTTGGGAAGTCTGGTAATATCTCTGGATGCATGGTGAACTACAACTCCTGCGCAGGCGGGTCATTCTCTGCCAAACCTCTCCAGTATGTTATATTAGCCTGGGTTATTTGAAGAAGGCACTGTTTGTTTTGGAGTGTTAGGTAATATCAGTTTGGTAATTTGCAGCTCTATTTCTTAGGAAAAAGCCAGTCTTTCCTGTTATTTTTAGAAAATGCATAAGGATGTGGCTGAACTGCAATTCCCAAAATTGTGGGCCAATCACCCCAAACCCCACCAGTATTCTGAGTTGGCCATGTTGGGTCTGTGTGCCAGGTTTGGTCCAGATCGGACGTTGGCTGCATTCAGTGCTCTCTGGATAAGAGTGAAGTACAAACTCCCAGATCAGAAGTCATTAACCCCCAAACCCTGCCTGTATGCACAGTTGGCCATATTGGGTCTACGTGCCAGGTTTTATCCACATCCATAGTCAGCTGGGTTCAGTGCTTTCTGGATAAGAGTGAACTACAACTCCCAGAGTCAAGGACAATCACCCCCAAACCASACCTGTATGCACAYRTGGYYATGTTGGGTCTGCGTGCCAAGTTTGGTCCAGATCTGATCTYGGCTGGGTTCAGTGCTTTCTRGATAAGGGTGMACTACAACTCCYARCATCAWGGAMCATTCCCCCAAATGTCTGCAGTATATTCAGTTGGTCAYGGGGCTTCTCTGTGMCAAGTTTTGTCCYGTTCCATTGTTGGTGGAGGTCACAGTTGCTCTGGATGCAGGGGARYTATAACTCCCATGAAGGTCAATCTTGAGTATGTTCTCTTGGTCTTGGGGTGACTGTGTRTCAAGTTTGGTCCAGGTCTGTCATTTGTGGGGGTTGCAGTGGACTGTGGGAGGTGAATYGGSTGAAGATACTGCATATCCCATCRTCCRTGGTCCATCCTCSCCCAAACYGCACCAGAATGTATAGTGGGTCATGGGGGGAGGGGTGGTCTGTGTGCCAGACATGGTCCAGGTCCGTCATTCATGATATTAGCAGTGGTCTCTGGAACTGAGTGAARGTACTGGAAATCCCATCATCTGTGGCAAGTGCGGTCCAGATCCATCGTTGCTTGGGTTCACAGTGCTCTCTSGATKTAGGTGAAGTACAACTCCTCTAAATCATGGTGAATTCTTCCCAAACTTTTAATTCAGTTGCTGATCAATTCCTGTTTGCTGTGTGCCATAGGAATGGGTAGGAAAGGGTTAAGAAAGAGGCAGTGGGCGGGGACATGCAAATTTTGAGAGAGAAAGGAACCCTGGGATGTCCGTTCTGGAGAAAAAATAGAACATCTAGGATGAAATGGTCCCCGAATAAAAGCATTCCTTGGGTGTTTGGTGTTTAGGGAGGACAATGGCAGGGTTTGGGCTACACATTCATGGCACTCATTGTAACCTGCAATGTCAGTGAAGGGAGTGCCTTTGGAGGCTTCTCAGCACTTGGAACTATAGCCTGTTTGTGGAGGCCGGAGGCTTTTATTGTGTGTATATTGGTAGGGTAAACAGATAGGAAATAAATAGTTCAGGAGGATAGAAAGCTGCTTTAATACTGGCTACCAGTATTAAAAAACTCTAAAATTATAACAGCTAAACAACAGAGAGGAAAAAACCAGGCACAGATTAACACCTCCCAGCAACAGATTTTCCCAGACTCAGGCAGGCCTTCAAATGCTAATGAAGGTGATCAGCTAAACATTCACACCTAACTGCAGCAGGGAAGAGCTCCTTGCCCCACCCCAGCCATTCCACAGCTATATAAACCCATTTTTCCTACTTCCAACAGACCTTCTCAACCTCTGAGGATGCTTGCCATAGATGCAGGCGAAACGTCAGGAGAAATGCCTCTAGAACATGGCTCTATAGCCCGAAAAAACCCACAAGAACCTAGTGATTCCAGCCATGAAAGCCTTCGACAATACACTGCTTTAAAAAGTTGCAATTCTAATAAATTGTGTAACCATTATTTCCCATCCACTCTATGTGATCTGAAGTCTAGTGGTTTGGAACAGCCAATATAGTCTTACCACCACTTTCACCATGACCCAAATGTGGAGGGATTGTGATGATCCGTTTCTCTCCCACACACATGTTGAGCAAGCCATTGTTCAAGCCTTCGATTATCTTGTTGGTGCCCAAAGTGGCTTCCTGCGGATGTTCATAGTCATGCCTGCCAATGGGGAACAAGAGATTGTTAATTTTGTTTGAGAATGCTTTCAGCTCAGAATTCTGCTCTAAAAAATGTATCTACGCAGCTTGTATAGATTTCAATGAACTAGAATATACAGTCGAACGTCTGTATCCACGGATTCAACTACCTGTGGATGCAACCATCCATAGATCAAAAATAGTAAAGCAAATTCTAAAAAATAAACATTATATTTTGTCATTTTACATAAAAGATGCATTTTACTGCTGCATTATGATGGCCTGACATGCACACGGACTACCACGGCTAGCAGGGACCAGTGGCAGCATCACAGGGACAAGTCATTAGGGAGAGGGCGATCGCAGCAGTGTCCATGTGCACAATGTATCAGGTTAAAACACACCTAACCTAAATTTCCAGATGTCCGCAAAGCCTGCAGATACTCTGGAGTTGCCAAACTCCAGAGTATCCCCCGCAACTTTGCTTAGTGTGGAGCAAAGTCAGCTTAAGGGCCAAAAACCCGGTGATTTACTAGACGTTCCTGTGCATCACAAAGAATGGTGTTGGGTATGGATTTTTTTCATATGTAGACAAGCCCTTTGTGATAAATTAGGGTAGACATTTAAATAAACCGAACTCTCAAAATACAACTTACGAGGAGAAGAGCCTAGTACCATCCATCAGGGAGCAGTTATAATGGTAGCGGACAAAGTCTCTGTCTTGAGTGGTAATATTGCAGTCTGCAGGCCGAAAGATTGTATTGATCTCCACAGGGTCTGTGGGGTTGTGGAAGTCAATGACGTGGACATCGAAAATCAAGACCGCTGAACCAGGGATCTTGGTCCCTGAAAGACAAGAATAAAGGAGATTACTTGTGAACAGTAGAGAGGGATGAATGGACCGACAGTGTGTGTATGTGCATTTTCCAATTATGGTTGACCCAAGACATTTTGTTTGTCTTTCACTGTCTGGGAAGAAGTACTCCAGAACCTCATAGAAAATGCTGAGGCACCACACTTCCTTTTGTTCCTTTGTCAAATTTCAAAACATTCTACTGCTGGAATCATTTTTCACATTAATTAATCTGCATTTTTATGTCCACTTGTCACCAGTTTGCTACCGGGCACAATTCAAAGTGCTGGCTTTAACCTATAAAGCTCTAAACGGTTCCGGTCCAGGTTATCTATCCGAACGCATCTCTCCCTATGAACCCTCTAGGAGGTTGAGATCGTCCGAGGAGGCCCCGCTCTCGATCCTGCATGCCTCACAGGCATGTCTGACTGGGATGAAAGACAGGGCCTTCTCTGTGGTGGCCCCTCAGCTGTGGAACTCCCTGCCTAGGGATATTACATCGCCTCCCTCCCTCCTGACCTTTAGGAAAAGAGTGAAAACACTTGCTCTTTGAGCAAGTGTTTGGAACTTCAGCATGACCAGATAAACACAAATTGGAATATGAACAAGGAACAGCTATGATGTGGGAAACGGTTGAGGAATTGAACAGGAAGACATAGTTATATTTTTTTTGTTTTTATTGCTTTTATGGTTTTTAAATGTATTATGAAGTGATTTTTGCTTGCTTTTAACCGATGTATGTATTTTATATGGCATCTAATTGTTGCTGATTGTACGCCACCCTGAGTCGCCTTCGGGCGGAAAGGGGTGGGATAAAAGTGATGTAAATTAATAAAAATAAATAAATATGTCTGCCCAGGGAAAAATCTTGAGCAGCACTACAATGAAAAAATACTGTTGACAAGTAATCAGCTTGGGACCTGGGCACCTGGAGAACCACCTTCCTTCATATACGGACTATCACACACTCCATTCAATAGCTACAGTCTTGTTCCAAATGTCATTATCACTTGAAGTGATATTGGTTGTGGTGGTCCTGAGTGAAGAATGCCTTCCCATTGAAGGCCCCAATATTGCTGGACTTCAGGAGCCAGTTGAAAGCTTGTTTTTTTTTTTCCAAAAATAAATATTTGATACCAGCTGACCTACTTATTTCGGAATATTACTCTGTTTCCAGGTTCCCTGTCACTGCATTTCTGTTGCTGGTTTTATATCAGTATGCATAAATTTTACTGTCTTATATCAGTATGTATATTATAAACAGAGAAATTACACTGTTTAGCCAGTATTGCACCACCTGACATTCATTGGAAAGTAGCAACCAGGACCAAGGCATTGACATCTCCGGCTCATCCTCTGTTTGGATATCAGCCAGTAGGCCAATGCCTTAAATCAAGAAACAGCTTTCTAAGATCTACAGAGATACTCACAGGGTCATCTCAGCAAGCCAGAGTACAGAAGTGGCAGGTTAAAACCAAGTGGCTGAGACAGGATGAGAAACTCCCTCCTGAGAACACAGAAGACTGGGCAACTTGGAAGGGGTTGAACAGACTGCGCTCTGGCACTGTGAGATGCAGAGCCAATCTTAAGAAATGGGGCTACAAAGTGGAGTCCATGACATGAGTGTGGAGAAGAGCAAACCACAGACCACTTACTACAATACAACCTGAGCCCTGCCACATGCACAATGGAGGACCTTCTTATAGCAACACCAGAGGCACCCCAAGTGGCCAGCTTCTGGTCAAAGGAAATTTAGTATAATGCCAAGGTTTTATCTTTGTGATTTTTTATACATTATAACTATTCTCAATTCGCGTCTGACACCATAACTAAATAAATATCAGTATGGGTTTTGTTTTTTGCAATGTTAAACTGCTTGTGAAACAAATAGAATGGGCAACATCCACAGTCCATCTCTCCAAACGTTGCTTGGAAAGGAGCAATCTCAGGGAAATAATAATTACAACACATAGTTAATGTCTGTTATTCTAACAAGTGCATCTGTAATAATAATTATATCCTTCATCTGTCATTGGCTCAGTTTTTTGTGTAATTCCACAAGTAACTGGAAACGTGACAAGACCTTCTCAAACTTTGGGCCAAATAGCTAGTTGCTAGCTAATGCTCTACATTTGGAGATTCATGGACAAGGTAAAAGGTAAAGGTCTTCCCCTGACATTAAGTCCAGTCGTGTCCAACTCTGGAGGGTGGCGCTCATCTCCATTTCTAAGCCAAAGAGCCGATGTTGTCCATAGACATCTCTAAGGTCATGGGCCGGCATGACTGCATGGAGCGCCCATTACCTTCCCGCCGGAGCGGTACCTATTGATCTGCTCACATTTGCATGTTTTCTAACTGCTAGGTTGGCAGAAGCTGGAGCTAACAGTGGGAGCTCACACCACTCCTTGGATTCGATCCACCGACCTTTTGATCAGCAAGTTCAGCTCAGTGGTTTAACCCACTGTGCCACCAGGGGCTCCTCGTGGACAAATGTGGGGTTTATTCAAGAGTGTCTAATTTGTACGTATAAACTAAGACTTTAGTACTAATAAATTGGATACCCAGAGACCTGTTCATAATTTGCCTTAAGAGAGGGAATACCCACGGAAATTTATATATTAAAATGTGAGCAGTATTGGTTATGTTTATTTTAACTAGCTATTGAATCCAAACAGAATTTTCAAAATGGAGCTGATTTGGAGAAAGAATCTGTTTTGAGACAGAAGCTGTGGCAATGAAAAACTTTTCAGTGCCTGTTTGTTCTGTCCTACCTGCCCCACTTTCACCATATCCCAAATGGGGTGGGATGATGATTCTTCTCTTTTCACCAACGCAGACCCCTTGCAGTCCTTGGTCCATTCCTGGGATAATGTAGCCTTTTCCGATGTAAGTATCATATGTGTGATTCCGTGAGTAACTGGAATTGGGAAAAAGAGAAACAATGGAGAGGAGGTGGTGGCCATTCTCAGCAGAAAACTTGAACTGTTGTAAGTCTTTAGGCTGATTCCCAAATGACAGCTTAAGACACTGTGTTGTACCTGCCCTGACTACAAAATTAAATAACATAGAAAAACACCTTTAATTTTGTTTCTTTGGCTCCTAACCGGATGGAAGGCAAATGTGTAAAAGCTTCCCATTCTTATAAAATGTTCCTGGTTAGTTTAGTTCTCCAGATATGTTTGCTTTCTACTGCTCTGTTGAAACTTCCAGTTCCTTTTGTTCACTAGTTTCTCTATTTGTTGTCTTCCTTCCTCAGAAATCTCTCTGGATTTTTATGGATATACAGTGTTCCCTTGCTACTTCGCGGTTCGCTTTTCACGGACTCGCTGTTTTGCGGGTTTTTGCCTCCCAGTTTATGAATGGTTGCCACTGCCCAGAGTGGCATTCTAATCCCACCTCCTGGCAACGATGGAGTGTGGAGGGGGGTTTCATCCTCCCCCTTAGGAGAGAGGCAGCCAATCAAGAGAGATTGCAAAGCAAACACACTCATTAAAGGAGTAGCTGGGAGCACTGTATAAGACAGCGGTTCTCAACCTTTCTAACACTGTGACCCCTAAATATGGTTCCTCATATTCTGGTGACCCCAAACCATAAAATTATTTTCGTTGCTCCTTTATAACTCTAATTTTGCTACTGTTACGAATCTTAATGTAAATATCTGATATGGAGGATGTGTTTTCATTGTTACAAATTCAACATAATTAAAGCATCATGATTAATCAGAAAAAATATGTTTGGGGGAGTATGGAAAACAGATGATGGGATTTGCAGTACCTTCAACTGATTCAGTGCTGACTTCCACAGACCACTGAGACCTCCACACAGAACTCCCATGTCAAACAAAAAATACTGGAGGGGTTTGGGAGGAACTGACAGTGATTTAGGGGAGATGTAGTTCACCTACATCTGGAGAGCATTGTGAACCCATACAACTATGGATCTGGACCAAACATGGCACAAACACTCAATATGCCCAAATTTGTTATTTTTTTATTTCCTATGTTAAAGTTTATATTATATATATAATTCTTTTGTTTTCCTTTATGTTGTTATTGGTATTATTGTTATTAAATTTATATGTTTATGTTTGTTTGTTGTTCCACAATACTATCTTTCTAAATTTATTTGGGGATCTTTTGGGGTCAGTTGCATATCACAATTACTCCTCTATCTTTTTCCTTGGTGTATCTTCACCACTTTAGTCTTTCCTTTCTTCCTTCATTTTCCCTTCTATTCTTCCCTTCCCAAATCTCTTATCTGGTGTGTCTACTTACTTTCTACTTCCTGTTTCCTCTTATTTTTTCAGAGTTGCCTTATTTCTCTCCCTCTTTCTCCTTCCTTCATCCTTCGCTCTAGTCTCAAGCTGTTTCTCTGACCGTCTCAGCTGCTTCTCTTTCCGCCTCGCACCTTGCAGCCTCCTCTCTTCTCTCCCCTTCGCTCTCCTCTTTCACTCTCTTCCTTCGCTCTTTCGCTTGCCTCACAACCTCTTCTCTTCCCTTCACTCTCCTCTCACGCTGCTGCTTTCCCCATTCACCTTGTGCGGAGGCCATCGGCGAGAGCGCGACGCAGGCGAGGGGGGCTTCCGCGACGCCAGGCCTCGCGCGGAGGCCTCCTCGCCTGCCTCGCTCTCTCACCGATGGCGACGGTGCAAAGCAGGCCAGGAGGCCTCAGCGCGAGGCCTGGCATCGCGGAAGCCCGCCTCGCTTGCCTCACTCTCTCGCCGATGGCCATTGGCGAGAGAGCGAGGCAGACGAGGAGGGCTTACACGACGCCAGGCCTCGCGCTGAGGCCTCCTCGCCTACCTCGCGCCCTCGCCATTGGTGAGAGAGCGGGGCAGGCGAAGGGGGCTTCCGCGACGCCAGGCCTCGCACGGAGGCCTCCTCGCCTGCCTCGCTCTCTCGCCGATGGCCACTGGCGAGAGAGCGGGGCAGGCGAAGGGGCTTCCACGACGCCAGGCCTCGCATGGAGGCCTCCTCGCCTGCCTCGCGCCCTCGCCATCGGTGAGAGAGCAGGACAGGCAAAGGGGGCTTCCGCTACGCCAGGCCTCGCGCGGAGGCCTCCTGGCCTGCCTCGCTCTCTCGCCAATGGCGACGGTGCAAAGCAGGCCAGGAGGCCTCCGTACGAGGCCTGCCATCGCAGATGCCTCCTCACCTACATCGCTCTCTCGGCGATGGCCATTGGCGAGAGAGCGGGGCAGGCGAAGGGGGCTTCCGCGATGCCAGGCCTCGCACGGAGGCCTCCTCGCCTGCCTCGCGCCCTCGCCATCGGTGAGAGAGTGAGGCAGACAAGGCGGGCTTCGCGCGAGACCTCGCTTGGCCCCGCCCTTGGGGCGGGGCCAACGAGGCGGCCTTGCAACCCCACCAAAATGGCCAGGCGACCCCCCTGGGGGTCGCGACCCCCAGGTTGAGAACCGCTGCTTTAAAGCTTTCCTTGCTTCTGCCTCACCCTTGGAATGCGATATACATATATAGTGTTCCTACTTCGCGGATTTTATTTTTCGCGGGTGGTCCTGGAACGCAACCCAGCGATAAGTGAGGGAATACTGTACTGAGCAAGACCAAGGTGGGAAGCTGTACAGAAGCCAAGTACCAATTTTCCCTAGAGGCTGCACCATCCAACAGTAAGACAATTTCCCTCTGCAATCCTTCTCAAAATGGCAACAAGAAGTGGCATCACATCACGTTGTGCATTTTGAGAGCGACTACAGAGGAAAACAGAGATATTTGTGTATATTACAGAGTTCAGGGATGGTTGCGGCAATATTTTTGTACATTTTCACATATTTAGGGGATAGGATGTGTGTTGGAGGGACAAAAATTGCATGAAAATGTTTCAGAAAACATATTGTTAACTCTGGGGGCTTGTGGTCAAAAGACTCCTTTGCACCAAGAGCCATGTTCATGATCTAGATCAGGGCTTCTCCAACTTTTTCAGCTGCAAAGCCCTTTTTGAAGCAAAAGTTTCTCATGGAGTCCCAAGAAATGTTTATATATTATATTATATATTACAAGATATATAGTGTATATATCTTGTATACACTGGGCCAGGTCAATGGGAAATGGATGGAGAGTGCAAAAAAAGAAAGAAAAGAGAGAACTGTACAATATTTAAAATGAAGAACAATTTTAACCATAATGCAAGAACAATAATAATAATAATTGCAGAAACCCCAGAGTCCATCCAGTCCAACCCTCTTCTGCCATGCAAGAAAAACACAAAGTACCCCCTGAGCGGTGTGGAGGGGGGGGGGGGAAGGGTCTAGGCAGTGAGAAAAAGAGTCTGGTCAGCGAGGGAGGCAGGGCAGAAAGGATCTGTGCCCTGGGAAGGCACTGCTGAGCAGCTTCTGGTTACCACGCCTTCCTTATAGGTAAGGATATGGCCTACACTATGATCCCTAGTCCCATCTGGGTTTCTCTTCCTCATACCTGGAATCAAAGAGGCTCCCATCCATCAAGGTGCCGTTATAATGGTAGCGCACAAAATCTCCGGTCACAGATTTACGTTTGCATGATGCTGGCACTTCCAGGTGCTCCAAGAAGATGCCATCTTTGGGATTGTGCAGATCCATTAGGAGAACGTCAAAAACCAGGGAGGCTTGAGGAGGGATGACAGTCCCTGAAGGAAGAAAAGATGAACGAGTCCAGCTCATGCTGCTGCATAGCCAGATTGACACAGATGATGGAAGAACTATGTTGGGTTGCTGTAGGTTTTTCGTGCTATATGGCCATGTTCTAGAGGCATTCTCTCCTGATGTTTCACCTGCATCTATGGCAAGCATCCTCAGAGGTAGTGAGGTCTGTTGAAACTAGGAAAATGGAACAACAGCACCTCCCCATGGCCACAGCTGAGCACAGCCTCCAGATGCCGGAGATGAAAAAAGATGGGAAGCCTTTACCTCTGTTTATGTACTGTTTGTCTTTGTTAATTGTATAACGACGTTGAATGTTTGCCAGTTATGTGTTCCGTATTTTGCTCTGAGTCCGCTTGGGCAAATAGAGCAGAATGTAAATAAAGTATATTATTATTAAAGCAATTAACAAACACTCTTACGACCAATATCATTATGATAATAATAAGAATCTTGTTGTGTGCCTTCTAAGCATTTCCCAACCATAAAATTATTTTCGTTGCTATTTCATAACTGTAATTTTGCAACTGTTATGAATTGAAATGTAAATATCTGATATGCAGGATGTATTTTCATTCACTGAACCAAATTTGGCACAAATACCTGATACATCCAAATTTGAATACTGGTGGGGTTTGTGTGGGATTGATTTTTGTCATTTGAGCGTTGTTGCTGCTGGGATTTATAGTTCACCTACAATCAAAGAGAATTCTGGACTCCACCAACAATGGAATTGCACCAAACTTGGTACACAGAACTCCCATGCCCAACAGAAAATACTGGAAGGGTTTGGTGGGCATTGACCTTGAGTTTGGGAGTTGTAGTTCACCTACATCTAGAGAGCACTGTGGACTCAAACAATGATGTATCTGGACCAAACTTGGCACGAATACTCAATATGCCCAAATATGAACATTGGTGGAGTTTGTGGAAAATAGACTTGACATTTGGGAGCTGTAGTTGCTGAGATTTATAGTTCAACTACAATCAAAGAGCATTCTGAACCCCACCAATGATGGAATTGGGCTAAACTTCCCACACAGAACCCACATAACCAACAGAAAATAATGTGTTTTCTTATGGTCTTTGGTGACCCCTCTAACCCCTTGTGACCCTGCCCTCAGGGGTCCCAACCCCCAGGTTGAGAAACACTGCCTTAGGCAAAACCAATCACAGGGTTTCTGGGCAAGATTTGTTCAGAGGCGTTTATCATGGCCCTCTTCTCATACTGAGAGAATGTGACTTACCCTATGTCACCCAGTGGGTTTCCATGACCAAGTGAAGTTTGGAGCCCTAGTTTTCAAAGTTCTAGTCCAATATGAAAGCCACGACTCCATACTGACTCTCTCATAAGTCTAATCGCTCTCCAGCAACTCCAAGCCTAAATTGAATAAATTGCATGCCTAGGAGCCTACATGTATATGCTCAAAGGTGCCTGGCTTCAAAGGAAAACATCTTAATGGAAGCCAGGAAGTAAGGGTGATGCAAATAGTCCCAATTTCCTTCACCCAGTTATTTCTAAATAAAACAGATATATCAATCGAATTAGAATACACAAATTGTGATCTCAGGTTTTTTTTCAACAACAAAATTATCAGTTTTAAGGAGTTTTTTTTTCACCTTGACAAATCCATGGATCTCTTGACCAACTTATCAACTTACCATATCCTTTCTCTCCATAGGCCAGGAATGGAGGGATGACTATTCTCCGCTTCTCTCCAGCGCACATGCCTATCAAGCCTTGGTCCATGCCTTTGATCAGCCAGCCTGAACCTACGTAGGTGTCATAGGTACTGTCTTTTCCATAGCTAAAATGTCAAGGAGGTTGGAGAAAGAGAAACCAGGGAGGACAACAGTTGAGTAAAGAATAAAACCTTGGCAGCATAGCATTAGTCCAACAAAGCAGGATCGCAAATTGCTATTTTCTTGATTTCCATGGGCAATTGAATTACATTTCAGGTGATGTATATGACTGAATAAGTAATTCTATTTTTACTCCTGATGCAAATGAATTACCTTAAAAACAGGTCTCTGCTTTCAAAGTTGCAACACAATGAATTGCTACAGTTTTGTGCCAGAATGTTAATGCAGCTGTGACTTTATTGGTTCTATTGCAGAGGTTATTGTACAGCTGTTTGGCTCTATTTTGACATATTTTGGCAAGATATCAATAAATTGTCATTTCCTGCCTTGGGAAAAAATGAGCTTGTGGAGTGGGAGAAAATGTCACCTGCCACTCCTCACCTGAACATCTGAGCCAAAATGAAGGGGACATTTTGGAGCCACATAAAACAGCCATACCAGTTGAACTGGCAGAAAACAGAGGCATGGCAGGAAGGAATTTAGCAATGTGACTACTGGCATTGAATTTTTGCCATTATCTATGTGTAAACCCTTTTGTGTCCCCCTCGGGGTGAGAAAAGCGGTATATAAATGCTGTAAATAAAATACATAAAATAAATAGGGGTGGATAAACAAGGAAGGCTAGAAGGGCTACCCTAGGAAGGCTAGGAGAGCAACATTTGCTCATGCATACTAATAATAATTATTATTAATAATAATAATAATAATACCATCTGTCAGCTGCAAAAGGCCACCCTATTGGGATCGGAACACATTATCCACAGGTACATCACATAGTCCTAAACACTTGGGAAGTGTCTAACATGTGATCCAATACAACAACCAGCATAGTGATCTTGTTTGCTGTGTAATAATAATAATAATCATCATCATCTTTATTTATACCCCACCACCATGTCCCCAAAGGGGACTCGGGGCGGCTCACATGAGGCCAAGCCCAAAAATACAATACAGTAAAATAAAACACAAAACAACAGAAAAAATTACACCAGAACAAAACACATAAAATACAAAATAAAATAAACAATGCAAAATAACATAATAAAAGTCGAACAAATTGGGCGGGCCAAATGCACAGATAGAATAATAAAACCCTGGATGAGATAGGAGTAGAAAAAGTGCCTTTGTGAGGGAAGAGAGTAGTGTTTCAAGTAATAATAATAATAGTTGTTATTATTATTATTATTATTTGTTTGTTTATTTGTAAACTGCCCTATCTCCCTGGAGGGACTGAGAGTGGTTTCCAACATATATGGCAAACATTCATTGCCAGCAAGGAGAAACATACAAACAAATTACAACAGAGCAGATCACATCAAACTATATATCAACAACCTAACTTTAAAACTTAATAACAAACAAAAATTGCAAAGATAAAACTTAAAAATCCATATAAACAAACACATGATATAAATTTATCACTAGGTAAAACGACTAGGAGTTAATGACTAAAGCCTAAAGAGAATTGAGGTGATTTTCCGCAACCAACAGTCTGAAATCAATTCCAGTATCTAAACAAGATTGATGTTGAAACTCAGAGTAAGCTTCACCTTGCTTCTAAACACCACCACACAAGAGCTGTAGTTTTATAGTTTATTGAGGAAAAAATCCAAGTCAAAATAAAGAATAAGCATTGCAAAGTTCCAAAGATTAAGGTTAAATGCAGAATATAGTTCCAAAGATCTTCAGGTAAAAGCAGGGGACACAATCCTATTGGCAAAGTTCAAACCAGAGACCCAGGTACAAGCAATGAAACAATTGCCCCAAGAATCACAATGCAAGAAATCCCAAGCGTACTGCTTTCCAGGCTAAGGTTATTCCATGAAACTTTCAGGCTAGTAAGCTACGTTGAACTGACACTTTCTCAGGGTTTGCAAGAAGCCTAAATACCTTTCTAACATGAAAACATTAGGCTCTCATCATCATCAAAGCATTGCGATGACCTTTCACCGAGCTGGCTCCTTGTCTGCCGGCCAGACGAGAACTCCGCCTGACCCTCAGATCAAGACGAGCTTGCCGGGTCAAGTCACTATCTACACTTTCAGTATCAGCGTGGGAAGGCACCTGCTCGCTATCTCCTTTGTTAAAATTCCTTTCTGCTGGGAACGGCTGTGTTGACACTGCACTGTCTGTGGGAGCCTCAGATGCAGGCCCAGAGATTTGAGGCACAGACACAGAGCCAGGAAGCTGAATCCCAGTAGGAATCTGAATCCCATCATCCTCATCATCAGAAAACAGCTCAGCTACAACAACTGAGCATATCTAGGCGAGGTTGTAGATTGAGGGATGTTAAGTCTTCCTCTTATCCATAAATAAACAAACAAATTTTGCTTGTGTTAAATTTTATGATATGTCTTCCAAGGACGGGTACATAGCATTTCCACCCTCTCCAATGAACTAAAATAGCAGAATAAGTTCAACCCCACTGTTCTGCGATATGTTATCCATGGTGCTCTACAGCACTAACAGTGATACTGATTACTGAGTAGTGGGTTTCTACAGTGGTGACATATAACCATATTGTATTATTTGTTTAGTTGTAGCGTCCCTCTGGTTTTTCTACAGTTAAGAGCTAAGACTCCATATTCACTGCCATGGTTCTATTCCATAGAATCCCGGGATATGTGGAGTAGGGAGGGGCACGTCAAATTCTTTGCCAGTTAATGCTAGCACCCTACTAAATGACAGGTCTCATGATTCCATAGGAGATAGTCATAACAATTGGGTAGAGTGAAAGAGCCCTCTCCCCTAACTTCTCAGCCAACTCCCCTTCCTCGATCCTTTGGCACAATTCTTTAGCATTTCCTACCTGGAGTCAAAAGGAGTGCCATCCAGAAGTGTGCCGTTGTAATGGTAACGCACAAAATCTGAATTTTCCACTGTGCGGTTACACCGCTCCGGCTTGTATAAAGTAGTGATCTGCACCTTGTCTTCCTTGTTCCAGATGTCAATCATGATGACATCAAAATAGAGGGTGGTGTCCGGGGGAATCATACCAGCTGTCGGGTTGAAAACGAGAGAAACCGTCATGCAGACACAGAAGGCAATTCAGGGATGTTGCAAAGGATGTGTCCTATAAACCATGTCTCCATTCCATTCACATGACAATACAACCGCTATACCCACTGAGCTGGTACCCGCAGTTTCACCTACCCGCATCCAACAAAATATGTTCTCTCTAGGAATTTTCTAGATCCTCTAGCAGGGGTAGGGAACCTTTGGCCCTCCAGCTGTGGTGGACTTCAACTCCCACAATTCCTTGAGGCTCGGCATTCGCCCCAAAGGCTTACCTTGGCCCAATGCCGAGCCTCAAGGAATTGTGGGAGTTGAAGTCCACCACAGCTGGAGGGCCAAAGGTTCCCTACCCCTGCTCTAAGGGATTCTATGGTATGTTTTCACTGGAAGTTATTACAGAGTTGAATTGGAGGACTTGGCTAACTCCTAGATAAGGATATTTTTTAAGGAGTTTTCAAGGTCCTGCAGAGTAACTCTATAGTAACTTCCAGCAGCAGTATTTCCCTCAACCCTCTTGCCCTCAAAAGTCTTTTCCCCCCTATCTCCTTGCCTCCAAAAACTGTTTTTCCTCATCTTTTTTGCCTCCCAGATCCTTTCCCCCTCTCCTTCCTTGCTTCCCAAACCCCTTTTCCCTCCCAGCACTCAGGGGTCCTTTGATTGTACTTTTCCTACATGGCAGAAGGAGGTTGGACTGGATGGCCCCTGAGGTCTTCCACTGAAATACTGTTAAGTTTATGCTGGTCAAAAATTTTGCCCATGCCTGATATATATACATCATATACAAAATACAATATATAAATTTAGGCGACCCTGGTAGCACAGTGGGTTAAACCGCTGAGCTGCTGAACTCGCTGACCAAAAGGTTGTTGGTTCAAATCCTGGGAGCAGGGTGAGCTCCCGCTGTTAGCCCCAGCTTCTGCCAACCTAGCAGTTTGAAAACATGCAAATGTGAGTAGATCAATAGCTGCTGCTCTGATGGGAAGGTAACGGTGCTCCATGCAGTCATGCCAGCCACATGACCTAGGAGGTGTCTACGGACAATGCTGGCTCTTCAGCTTAGAAATGGAGATGAGCACCACCCCCCAGAGTACCCGACTGGACTTAAAGTCAGGGAAAAACCTTTACCTTTACCTATAAATATTTACTGGGGCTCAATGAGAAACTTTTGTTTCAAAAAAGAGCTCTGTGGCTGAAAAGATTTCAGAACTCCTGATCTAAAGCAATATTGTTGGAACCAGAAACACTGTAAGGCAGGAAATTTAGGGACACTCATATTTTGTGTATGTGTGTACATCAGCATATATTCATATATATACATTAGCATGTATTCAGTGGAGCCCCCGGTAGCACAGTGGGTTAAACCCCTGTGCCGGCAGGACGGAAGACCCGACAGGTCGCAGGTTTGAATCCAGGGAGAACATGGATGAGCTCCCTCTATCAGCTCCAGCTCCTCATGCGGGGACATGAGAGAAGCCTCCCACAAGGATGATAAAACATCAAAACATCCAGGTGTCCCCTGGGCAACGTCTTTGCAAAAGACCAATTCTCTCACACCAGAATCAACTTGCAGTTTCTCAAGTTGCTCCTGACACGACTAAAAAAAAGCATGTATTCAGGGATAGGAAAAGCTTCCCAATTGAGAAATGTCAACCCTGTACCTCTTCTCTTCTTTCACAAACCTAGTCCATACCAGAAGCTTGCCACTCACCAACACCAATGCTGCCATAGCCGAGATGGGGTGGTACTATAAGATGCCTCCTCTCATTCACACACATGCCTTGTAGACCTCTATCCATTCCTGTGATGAGCCGTCCAACACCTGCCACACCTGCCACAGTAGCACCCCGGTCATAGCTGGAAAGGTGGAGAGAGAATCAATATTAGAAGATGAGGGTTAAATTACAGTTGGCCCTTCACATGTGCAAGTTTAATTTTTGTATATTTGAATATTTGTGGATTTGATTAATATGTTCTGTAGGAATTTCCACATCCTCCAGCACGACTCTGTTATCAACTTTGGGTGGAAAATGGTCACAGAGTCGTGCTGGAGGATCTAGAAATTCCAAGAGAGATGTTCTTTCAAGTTAGCTGAAATCTGCTTGAATCTATTAAATAACAATTATTTCAAGCATCCATGATGTTTTGCATAGTTTTGACACCATAGTGACAGGATCATGGCTGGAATCAGTGTAATGCTAAAAGGAGAAGGAAATTATACTTGTCGCAGTTTCTCTCTCTCTACAAACACATCTCCAGATAATAAGGATTATCAACTGGAGGGTCAAATCTGGTCCATGTCACCTGTATGTCTGTGCCTTCAAAATGCATGTTGACTTATGGCAACCCCATCCAATTCATAGGATTTTCTCAAACAATGAAAAATTAGAGGTAATTTTGCCAGCTCCGTCCTTTGAAATATAAACTACAGCACGTGGTGTTCATTGGTGGTCTCTCGTCCAAATCCTAACCAGGGCTGACCCTGCATAGCTCCAAGATGAGACAAGCTCTGGTGCCTTGAGGGCAGTGGTTCCCAACCTTTTTTTTTGACCAGAGACCACTTTAACCAGGGACCACTCTCCAATTGCACCAAAAAGGTTACGAATCAGTTTTTGGGCAACTTTAGATTTGGTTTGGTTATTTGGGATGCTGATTCAGAAAACTGCATTGGATAGACCACATCAGCTCTAGTTTCTGATATAGAACATATGCCATCCAGTAGTCACCATCTGCTCGCTCACAGAAAATCATATTTAATAATCTAGAGCTGATGTGGTAGTAATCTTTTGGGTAGTCAGCCTCTCCAGACATCCCCTTGCCTCGGCACTATAAGAGGGTTTCGCGAGACAGTGTGTCAATAAGGTCAAGTTATTGCACCATTCAGGTCTGTTTGGGTGGAAACTTACTTGGAACACTGTGGTCATAGAATCATAGAATCATAGAGTTGGAAGAGACCTCATGGGCCATCCAGTCCAACCCCCTGCCAAGAAGCAGGAATATTGCATTCAAATCACCCCTGACAGATGGCCATCCAGCCTCTGTTTAAAAGCTTCCAAAGAAGGAGCCTCTACCACACTCCAGGGCAGAGAGTTCCACTGCTGAACAGCTCTCACAATCAGGAAGTTCTTCCTCATGTTCAGATGGAATCTCCTTTCTTGTAGTTTGGAGCCATTGTTCCACGTTCTAGTCTCCAGGGCAGCAGAAATCAAGCTTGCTCCCTCCTCCCTATGACTTCCTCTCACATATTTATACATGACTATCGTGTCTCCTCTCAGCCTTCTCTTCTTCAGGCAAAACATGCCCAGCTCTTTAAGCCGCTCCTCCTAGGGCTTGTTCTCCAGACCCTTGGTCATTTTAGTCGCCCTCCTCTGGACACATTCCAGCTTGTTAATATCTCTCTTCAGTTGTGGTGCCCAGAATCAGACACAATATTCCAGATGTGGTCTAACCAAGGCGGAATAGACTTCCCTGGATCTAAACTCTAGACTCCTGTTGATGGAGGCCAAAATCCCATTGGCTTTTTTTGCCACAACATCACATTGTTGGCTCATGTTTAACTTGTTATCCACGAGGACTCCAAGATCTTTTTCACACGTACCGTTCTCATACTACAAATTTATCTTTGCATTTCATTTTTTTTCCCATGGACCACAGTTTGGAAACCACTGCTTTAGGTTATTAGGCCTTCCATGTCCCATAATTTGTCATTCTAGATGCAGCAGAGATACATGATGTACGTATTAGTGGCTACAGAAATAGGTCTTTGTAAAACTAATTGAGAACCAGGACTTCAGATTGAAAACTAGAACTAATACAACTGGGAGAGCAAAGAAACTTCAGAATGCATTGAGTTCTATCCAAAAGATGAGACTGTCAGATTCAAAATTAATCCCAGTTGCAATGCAAAAGCAGAACCTCATCTGTTTGGACAATAGATGTATGTTGAAACTGCAGACTTCCAGGGCTGTGGGGGTGTTGTTTAATAAACAAGTATTTCTGTAAACTTTTGCTTCAGAGGGGGAAAAAGGCCCATTCCACTAGCATGGAAAGAAGCAAGTGAAACATGATCTCCAACTTCCTTTGCAGCCTGAGCGCTGGAAAAGAAGGACCAGCTTATATACAGTTTTCCCAAAGCCGACTATGTTTTAATAGAGATTTAATCTCTTTGAAACCGAACCCAGGCACAAACTATGATATGCATCTTTCAGGACAAACGCTGCCTAAAAAGCATATTTTGAATGGGATTGAAAGCCGTCATTCCTAACTTCCGAAATCCTGCCTTTTAAAAC